AAGGAAGGAAAATCGGAAGACTAAGAAAACTACTATAGTAACTTCCATGGGCAAATAAGTGGAAGCCTATTAACCACTAACACTATCACAGCAACTCCATTTACCACATGCAATTTATTTATTACGCGGCCTCACAATTCTTATTGGTTAATAAAGGAAGTCTACAGACCAAAATCTTATTATAACAAATCCTTTTACCATTAGGCGGCCTCACAAGAAAGCCCTGCCGATTTATCGGACTAGAGTTTGTTGACCGTCTCCTCGTAGTCAGAACTGACGGTAGGATTGAAGCTGTAAACAGACAGTAGAGATGTTATTACATTGCCACGCATCTGGGGTCATCTAGACCGAATTTTCAGAGCTTTTATAGTAGAAGCGATTCGTGCAGTTCAAGGAGACATCGACGCAGAGTTATTACGAGGCCGGAAGTAGAATAAATCAGACGACCTTTCCAGGTCGCTGCAACAACATAGACTCGGCTCGTTCAATATGAACTCAGTGAAGGAGGTTTACAAACGCATGGTGGTTAAACAAATCGAACAGCCTTTTTTTCTTAAGGCCTTATTCTTCAGGCTTAGAGTACGCCTTAGAATTAGTGCAAAATGCCAACATTTGCGAAAGATTGATACTCACTCGCTAATTTGCATTGAGTAAGGTTGTAATACTGATTATCATGTAGTCTATTCTCAAATGATTTCAGTCACGATATGATGCGAGCTTTCTAACGAGCTTCTTTCTGACCGCTAACAAAAACGATGTTCTGTAAAAAATGGCTACCTAAGTAGTGTTAGGAGTGTAGCCTGACCAAAGGCTAGCAACCTTGCAGGCTCTCCTGAGGCCTTCTTCCTCAAATCGTAGGCAAAAACGTACTTTTCCTTAAACAGGATGTGCACAGCGCGGTTTGTAAACCTTGAATTCGGTGTAGCAGTCGGTAGGTTTCAAAATTATTCGTCAATTGAGAAACCTTTTTAAAACCTGAGCCACGCGCAAGCTGTCCTGTGGATTACGATCGAGAAAATTAACTATGCGTATAAACTATGGTGGAGGACGCCAACCAATCGCGTTACTGGACTTATTCGCTTCCGGACAAAGCGGCACGGTACCTTATCCAGCATCTAAAATATTATATTAAATGTAGAGGCATTTACAAAGTCAAAAAATGTTTTTGATAGTGTGATGCACCGAATACGTGTCGCATGAACTGACAGGAAGTAAACCCAAGCAAAAGGTGTATTGAGAGATAAGATACAGGCAGGTCGGCCGTTTATTTTATGCAGAGCTCGGACACTTTCAGTGTATACCTGCCGAAGATGTTCGTGACAACATTCCATGTGCCATCTTCGAAGTCATTATTTTGCAGTACCAGCGAGGGCATGCTTGCCATTTGGGGAATAATTGGGTAGGGTCTAATAACCCCCGGTTTCCAGCCTCAAGATGAATATGATTAACAGCAACCGGTGTTGCAAGAATCTGACAAAAACCTATGCGCATCCTACAAGACTACACCCATTGAAATATTCTACCTTAGATTCTCCT